ATCAAGATCTTTCTTTAATTTAGCATGGTCATCGTTGTGTGACTCCTCAAGAGTCAAACGATGCCCACGCTCTTCCTCTAGAGCATTAGAAAGATCTGATATCTCATCGACATAGTCACGACTATGGCCTTCCATCTTAAAGATGGTTTCTTCATGAGCCTCGGTCATGTCATTGGCTTCACCAAGTTGTTCCAAGAGAGCAACAAAGTGCTTCTTGGATTTGCCCTTGAGTTTACTCATAAAAGACTCAAATTCATTCATCTCTTCATTAGACCCCTCATTTTCATCAATGCAATCCGTCAAGGAAGGATTAGTAATGATGGTGGTTTTGATGTTGGGGGTTACCTTGTTAGTGGCTTTAGCCATGAGGCACTTGGCGGTGATGTTCTCGTTGGGTGAATCAAAGAGAGACACCCGAGGAGTTGTGGCAATGGCAACGGAGGACATGGCCATTACTTCTCCATCTTCATCATCATCGTTATCCTCACGGTATTCTTCTTGAACCACTAACCCTCGAGTAGGAGTCCTTTTGGTGAAGTTGTTCTTGTTGGGGAAGGACTTGGCTTTGTCTTTTCGAATGAGCTTGCCACCATTGTGTTCCCGCTTCTCGTAAGGACAATCCACAACAAAGTGACTCACATTGCCACAATTGTAACAAGTTCTCACTCGTTGCTTTCCCTTGAACCCACTTGAATTGTTCTTGTTGAAATTTGGCCTTGTGTTCTTCTTGCTCCAAAATTGCCTTGAAGCAAGAGCCATGTGCTCATGATAATCATATTTAGTATCCTCGGGATTGCCCTCCTCATCTTCCTATTATTACTCTTCTTACACAATGACCTTGGCCTTCAAGGCAAGATTTGGCTTCTTTGTTCTTTGAGAACGGAGCACCGCGTTGTCGGCGATCTTGTCCAAGATGCTCATAGCAACGAACTCATCCAACACTTCGCTCGAGGTCATGGAGTGGAAGTCCGGTCTTTGACGGATGACGGAGGACATGGCCTTGTTATAGGGCATCATGGCCTTGAGGAACTTGCGCTTGATCCAATTAATTGTCATCCGTGTCCTTACTCCCATGATCTCGGAGTGAGAGCGCGAGTTTGGTTACTCTCCGAAAGAGCTCACGAGGTTCTTCATCTTCCTTCATTGCAAACTCACCGGCTTCATCTTGCACCACTTCATAGTTGGAGCGTTGAATGCTTGTGCTTCCCCGATAGAGAGACACAACGCAATGACATGCGTCTTTGGCCATGGTGTAGGGTCGAAGACGAGGGAGATCTTCGGGGAGAATTGCATCTTGGATGATGAAGAGAGCATTCTCATTGAATTGATTATCCACGGCTTCTCTAGGGGTGAAGTTGCTTCGGTCATGTGGATAGAAACCTTCTTCAATGATTCTCCAAAGATTAGTATTCACATGATTTAAATGACGCTTGAAGAGATACACCCAAGAATCAAAATCCTCATTTTTCACAATCTTAGGAGGAGGACCGGCATGATTTAAATGAGTAGAGGGAATCGGTCCTCCATAAGTTGGAGGTTCCACATGGGCAAAGATGCCGGTGCCATTTCTACCACTAGTAGAGGGACCCTTTTCACTATTAGATTCCCCCTTGTCGGAGGTAGCATCCGTCACCTTGTTAGTGGGATCACCCACTTTCATCGGCAAGGTAGACAGTTTAAGTCCTTCTAGGAATTTAGTAAACATGCTTTCAACCTCGGTCGTCATGGAGTTTTTCAATGTGTCTAAAGCCACATTGAATTCCTCATGAGAGACCGCGGTTCCCCCATCGGCCGTAGACGAGGTAGGATTCACACCGGAGTGCTCCTCCACACCGTCTGTGGTGTCAACCATACTCTTCGGATGACAAAGTCCTTAAAAAAGAGACGAGGCTCTAATACCAATTGAAAGGATCGATATAGTTGACTAGAGGGGGGTGAATAGGCAACTAACAATTTTAATACTTTTCTTTACCAAATTAAACTTTGCATCAAAGTAGGATGTCTAGATATGCAACTAGGTGAGCAACCTATATGATGCAACAAAGACTAGCACATAAGCAAGCAAGGGATACAACACAAATAAGATTGCGCAAGTAAAGGCACGAGGTAATCAAGAGTGGAGCCGGTGGAGACGAGGATGTGTTACCAAAGTTCCTTCCTTTTGAGGGGAAGTACGTCTCCGTTAGAGTGGTGTGGAGGCACAATGCTCCCCAAGAAGCCACTAGGGCCACCGTAATCTCCTCACGCCCTCACACAATGCGAGATGCCCTGATTCCACTATTGGTGCCCTTGAAGGCGGTGACCGAACCTTTAGAAACAAGGTTGGGGCAATCTCCACAACTTAATTGGAGGCTCCCAATGACACCACGAAGCTTCACCACAATGGACTGTGGCTCCACGGTGACCTCAACCGTCTAGGGTGCTCAAACACCTAAGAGTAACAAGATCCGCTAGGGATTAGTGGGGGAATCAAATTTCTCTTGGTGGAAGTGTAGATCGGGGCCTTCTCACCCAATCCCGAGCAAATCAACAAGTTTGATTGGCTAGGGAGAGAGATCGGGCGAAAATGGAGCTTGGAGCAACAATGGAGCTTTTGGGGGAATAGGTAGGTCAACTTTGGGGAAGAAGACCCCCTTATATAGTGGGGGGAACAATGCAACAGTTAGCCCCCTTAGCAGCCCCGCGGAGAGCGGTACTACCGCTGAGCCAGCGGTACTATCGTCCCACTCAGTGGTACTGCCGCGCAAAGAGAAGGAGCAAGGACCTGGACCCTGAGCGGTACTACCGCGGTGGTAAGGGCGGTACTACCGCCTCTACTGCCCCAGTTAGTGCCGCAAAACCCGACACGAGAAAAGGAGCCCTCGACTCGAGGTGGTAGGGGCGCGGAGCCGCAGCAGTACTACGACGGAAGGCTCCAAGCGGTACTACCGCTTGTGCGCTTGGGCGGTACTACCGCTCTGGCCCGCGGTACTACCGCTAGGACCAGCCAAAGCAGCCACAAAGAGGAAAGAGTACTCCATTGAAGCGGGAAGGTTCAGTGGGTGCGATAAGGAAGTGTACGTGTTGATTCCACCCTAGCCTGACCAAAGCGGATCTCCTCTTGATAGTACAGTGACTCCTACGAAACTAGTCCACCAACATAGAAACGAAAGAGCTGCACCGTCTTGAATAACACACCGAGGGGAGGAAATCGTCTCGTGCCAAAGGATGAATCTCTGAAAAGCTCAACGCATACGATTAGTCCGCAAACGCATTGTCATCAATCACCAAAACACCTTAGGGGTAAATATGCCCTTACAATAAGTAGTGATGAAGTTGTTATATGATGTCTTATCATGGACGAAAATGATGCTTATGAGGAGTTATATGACAATGATATATTATGATGGTGATGATAAGTTATTATGTCATTGGGTGAAAGAACCATGGCTTAGTTTCAAATGGATGGATCCAAAGTGACCATTGGTTACTTTGAATCCATGCACTTGAAACTAATCCAAGGCTCTTTCACCTAGTGATTTAATAACTCATTATGATGTTAAGACAATCTCTAAATTGCTACTATATGAAAAGATGTATACATGTGTATGAATACGACCTAAAATCAAAATGAAATGGAATAGGAATAATAGTAGTAGAGATTGTTATCGAAAGCGCTACTAGTAATTAGCAGTAGCGATTGGCACGGAACGCGTTACTACTAAGAAGATATATCAGTAGCGCGTGCTCGCCGGCGCTACTGCTAAGCTTTAGTTGTAGCGCCTTATCAGTAGCGCGCTTGCCCGCGCTACTGATAGGCCCAAAACCAGCGATACTGCTAGGCTTTTCCCTAGTAGTGAAAGCATGCTTTTCGAGCCGATGAGCCGGACCTCCGCAACCGACGATACCAAGGCTTTGTGGTATGTTGGACGAGGGGTTTTCCGGTGTCCATTAGATCCTTGAGACATCAACTTCATCTAATGTGGTTAAAGAAGAGGAAAGCCACCACCTACCACCATCCATGCACCCCAGTACAAAACACCAAACACAACTGCAACAATCGACATCAACGCCACGCTTGAGTGTCTTGCGCCGACCACCGGACACAAATCTCGCCAGATCCAAGACCGGCAAGAAGACCGCACCATTTGGGCACCTCTGAAAGAAAACTACGCCCATCCTATCTTCCGATGGAGTGAAACTGCCGAGGTCCCCACGGCTCCTGCTGCTAGAGAGGCGGACGAAGAGGACAGGGACTCGCATTGTCACCAGCGTTGAGAGAAGACAAGAAGATCACATCCCTAACACCTTGCTGGAACGGTTTCCAGGAGCGAACTAAACTGTTGATTCACATGAACTTGAAAGTACATGAAAAATAAAAGCGTATAATTCATAGAATTGAAAAACTACAATAATTTGGATAAAAGAATATTAACACTGTAGAATTTTTTTTGTACAATGAGGTTTAGCGGATGGATGTTTTTATCAAAATAGGGTGCAAAGTAATCTTAGAAAAAATGCTAAGGTTCCAATCCCGTGAATCAAATTTGTGACAAAACATCTTACGTTAATGAACAGAGTTTTGGTTATAATACCATCTTATATTATAAAACGAAGGGAAGTACTTTCTCTGATCCAAATCAATTGACGCAGCCTATCAGATCGGAGGGAGTATAAGATTTCTTTGTATCGAAGCGTCCTTACAAAGAATTGCAAACTACTTCCTCCTTCTCATAATATAAGAGCGTTTTTATACTAGATCTTATATTATGAGACAAACTTATATTATACAAGACGGAGGGAGTAAATTTCTAAATTTTGAAACAAATTTGCCATAGGGATTCCCGCAAAAAGAAATTGCCATAGGGAAGATCCAATCCAACCTTGCCCCATCTGTCAGAAATCAGGGACACAGAAATGCAAGTCGACTCACGCTCTTGCTGTGCAGTAGCATCTGACACTCGCCACCTCCTACCCAACTCCTATCCCCTTTCCGTCCGTCTAGGTCTGGAGGAGCGGCGATGGCGGCGCCCGTGACGGTGTACGGGCCGGCGATCTCGCCGGCGGTGGCGCGCGTGGCGGCGTGCCTGCTGGAGAAGGACGTGGCCTTCCAGCTCGAGGCGGTGGACATGTCCAAGGGCGAGCACAAGTCCCCCTCCTTCCTCAAGCTCCAGCCCTTCGGCCAGGTCCCCGCCTTCAAAGACCACCTCACCACCGTCTTCGGTCGGTACCCACCTCTTCTCCTGCTTCCGCAGCTAGTTTCTTCACATCTTGTTTTGCTTCTCTGTCAATTGCAAGTGCCATTCGTTGATAAAGATGGAAATTTTACCTAGATCTGTATGCATTTTATCAGTAATTATCCAGTTTCTGAATTGAGGCTAAATTCCAGTGTTGGCATGTTCATATGTATGGATGATTGGTTGACTTTCCCCTGAATGTGAAAGAAAAGAAAGATATCTGTAAAATGGTCGTTTGTGTTCACAAGTTGTATGGTTCATCTTTTGGCAGAGTCAAGGGCCATTTGCCGTTACATCTGTGACCAGTACTCCGACCGTGGCAACCAGACTCTCCTAGGCCGGAAAGAAGACGGCGCGGTAGGCCGTGCCGCCATTGAGCAATGGGTAGAGTCTGAAGGCCAGGCATTTAACCCCCCAAGCTTGGCCATCGCATTCCAGCTCACCTTCGCGCCGCTCATGGGCATGGCCACCGACATGGCCGTGGTCGAGCAGAATGAGGCGAAGCTTGCCAAGGTGCTCGACGTGTACGAGCGGCGGCTGGCGGAGAGCCAGTATTTCACCGGCGACGAGTTCACCCTTGCCGACCTTGTGCACATGCCCAACACTGATCTTCTTGTGAGCAAGACCGGCAAGGCGGGTCTGATCACCGAGAGAAAGAATCTGTCCAGATGGTGGGATGAGGTCTCCGCCCGCCCGTCATGGAAGAAGGTTGTCGAGTTGCAGAGTGTACCACGACCCTCTAAAGCTTGAGGCCCCCTTCATTTTTTTGGCCGAGCAGCTTCTGGTGGCAATTAGTCACGTTCTGTTATGTGTTGCCACCACTCCTAAATGTTAATTGTGTTGTGAAAGACTCGGGCTGCTTTGTACAATATGTTATCCTGCTATCTATCTCTGTGGTATTATTGAGTTTGCATGGTTGGATATGTTCCTCTGGTTTCTCAATTCTGTGCTGTTGCCTGTTGGAACTCGATTGCATCCCATAATCCACATAAATCTATTCTTGAGACGTTGGTTTACTACCCTGTTACTTTCAGTGGGTCACTCTGACAATCTCTTTACCTACTGAATTTTAGTCCCTCCATTCCAAATTATTTGAAGTTCTTGCTTTGTCCTAAGTCAAATTTATTCAAGTTTGACCAATTCTGTAGAAAAATGTGCTTATCTACAACATCAAATTGTTGATCCAGGCCTTAAGCTAGGTGATATATATGTAAGGTAATGCAAGATGACACATCTTGATTCAATATTGATCCATGTATTGTCTCATAGCAGTGTTGGGATTGGGGTGTATGATTCGAAGATAAATAACAAGTGCGAGTTGTCATTTGTAGTATTTGTCCTTCTCAAATATACTTGGATAAATCCATTCTGGACTACGAGAAAAGTTGAGAAACAAATAGAGTCCTGGCAAATCTGAGGCAGCGCAAATGTTCAAAGAATTCAGCGGTGTGTTAATGCAAGCCAAATAATACTTATTTCAGTTGCTGAGAATGAGATGCTGATTATCACTTGAGTGAATGCATATTGGCAGCTTCTTATTGCCTATTCACACTATTATCAGTAATATAACATGGAAAACTTAAGCATGAATTCATCTTGTCATTTTACAGGTACCACTCCTGATAAATCAGTTATGTTCTACCAAATGAAACATACTGGGATTGAAAGCTAAGCACATTCAAAGATTCTTCCATCAGATGAACGGCTCAATTATTCCTGACTCCATATGGGGGATGTTGCTTTTGTTGAAAAATATATTCTTGCACTCTGACAGAAGTCATCAGATCTTCGTTACTGCTGGTACTTGATGCCAACCTCCTTACTTATCCAAGCCTGATAGTACTGCTGGCTGAAGTGAGCTAAATGCTCAGGATGACATGCTGATTATCACTTCGGTCAATGCATTTTAGCAGTTTCTTATTTTGCCTCTTCATACTAATCTAATATGTATTCCCTCCATAAAGAAATATAAGAGCGTTTAGATCACTACTTTAGTTATCTAAACGCTCTTATATTTGTTTACAGAGGAAGTAAAACTTAAGCAACTGAATTCAGCTTGTCATTTTATAGGCACTACTCCTAATAAATCAGTTATGTTCTTCTACCAAATAGAACATACTGGGATCAAAATTTATGTGTGTGCATAGATTTCAATCCCAGTATGTTTTTTCTTCCATCAGACCAACGGTTGAATTATACCTGACTCCATATGGGAGACATTACTTTATGTCGAAAATTTTATTCTTGTACCCTGACAGAAGCCATCAGATCCTCATCACAGCTGGTACTTGATGCCAATCTTCTTACTTATCCTAGCCAAATTCTATCTATCAGTTGTCCCAAACCATCCATGTAACATCATGAGCTCCTCATATACTGTTTTTCTTCTCAGTCAAGTTATCAATGACTGGATTATTAAACATATACCTGACTAGTGACTCCATACGGTGGACGTTGCTTTTATCGAAAAAATTATTCTTGCACTCTGACAGAAATCTCTACTCCTAATGGACGAATTGGTTGAATAGTCCCCCCCACTTTCAACCGGTTTATTTTCAACCGGTTTTTCTTCGTCCCACCTCCCACCAGCCCCTCCCACCGGTTTTTCTCTTTTCTCGTCTGACCGGCAATACCCAACGTATTTATGGTAATCAATCATAATTAATCCACGTATAGTAATAAATCAATCCAGGTATGGTAAGGTCATAACTCAGGAAATTTTGAATATGGTAATTATATGGTAATAAATGTAAATTACCCCAAAGGCTATCAATCCAGGTATGGTAAGGCCATAACTCGGGAAATATCGAATATGGTAATAAATTTAAATTACCACCAGGTATGGTAAGGCTATCCACGTATAGTAATAAATCATATAGTAATAAATCATAATTAATCCACGTATAGTAATAAATCAATCCAGGTATGGTAAGGTCATAACTCAGGAAATTTTGAATATGGTAATTATATGGTAATAAATTTAAATTACCCCAAAGGCTATCAATCCAGGTATGGTAAGGCCATAACTCGGGAAATATCGAATATGGTAATAAATTTAAATTACCACCAGGTATGGTAAGGCTATCCACGTATAGTAATAAATCATATAGAAATAAATCATAATTAATCCACGTATAGTAATATATCAATCCAGGTATGGTAAGGTCATAACTCAGGAAATTTTGAATATGGTAATTATATGGTAATAAATGTAAATTACCCCAAAGGCTATCAATCCAGGTATGGTAAGGCCATAACTCGGGAAATATCGAATATGGTAATAAATTTAAATTACCACCAGGTATGGTAAGGCTATCGATCCAGGTATGGCACGCCCTCACCTGATCACCTATCACAATCTCCAGCCCCACGCACGCACCAAAGAACCCACCCGGCACCAAACGCAGCTCCTCTCAATCCCCTCGAGTAAACGCCACCACCGTCGTGCGATCTGCTGACACAGACGCCGTCGCCGCCTCCTTCCCACCTACGGCGTCCCCCACGTCCATGGTGACGGCGCTCGCGTCCTACACTGACCCTCCGCCTCATATAGGTTGGTCGTTGATGGAGTGGGATGTGCCGCTGCGGTTTGGGGAGGCGCAATCACGATCTGGTTGGGATCTCAGTGTGGACTCGTTCTCTACGATGAAGGATGGCGCTGCCTCCCTGGCAAATGGGATCGGAGGAAGGGGCTCTACGTCGTGAATGTCGGCGAGGCAGCGGCCGAAGGCGAGCCCGACGGTGAGCACGGGTGTTCGTCCCATGAAATAGGCGGCCACGGAGGGCGGATCTGAGGCCACCCCAATCGCCGGTGGCCCTTCCTCCCATCGCTCATCTCCTCCATTCTCTCTCTCCTCTAAATCTTTGTCGCCCCTGCCTGATTCTGGCCGACGCCATCCGGCTCTCGCATCGACCACCACCAGCACGGCTGCGGACGAGGCGCAACCGCAGACGCCGCCGCCGCCATCCTCATCCACCTCCTCCACCATCCTTCCCAGCCGTCGTCGGGGGCACCCGCCATCTGCGCTCTAGCCCACCCGCTCCCTCCTATCCCCTCCCCCTGCCTGCCAGCCCCGTGATCCATCGCACAGATGGCAGGTACTACAGCGACCTCCTCCCTAGCGGATCCAGCCTCCTCCGATGGAGATCCATCCTGGGCACCGCCTTATTCTCATGCGTGCACGTCTATATCAACGTCTCATTCCACCTCACCTGAGCCTTTACCTTCCCACCTCTGCTTCAGATCCACATCACTTTTGCAAGGTATGTGCTTGATTGTTCCGAACTGGATCGATGGATTATGCAAGGTACTTTGGGTGTCGTCATTGACGGCAATTGTCACGCCATGCTACCATCGGAGGGGTCCCTCATCGATGATTAGGGTCTTCCGAACTGCACGAGCTCCATTGAGAAGGATGTTTTTAATTCTGGTTTTGCCTACATGCTTTCTTTGCCTATATCTACTTAGCTAATGTCTTCTTATAGATAGTAGCTGCTGAAGTGGTGATCAAAGTTGTTCACTATAAGGAAACAACCATGATAACAAAAGTGTATATTCCCTGACCTTTGACCTGAAGTACTTTTTCATTAGAAACTTGCAACAGCCAGGCATTGAAATTAGCAACAGCTTCGTACGTACTGAACTAATTTGCAGCAACACGTACTGAACTAAGTTAGGTTATGCTCATCGTTCCAACATGCTTAGTGATAACCACCTAGCAAGCTGATCAAACATGAAAAAATTGAAGTGCTACTGCTAATCGTACTATTCTGAATGTGAAATTCTATTTAATTGGCTCTTCTCTAATTGTACACTTGCATAAATCTCAGATCTTGCAAATTACAGTATAATCATAAAAGTCATGCTTTGACTCCTATAGGGCCTTTTGCACTTTAATATGACTAATAATTTGCCTTAATATCACAGATTGTATTACTACCTTTCTAAGTGAACGACATTCAAGAAGATCATTAAATAAAACCAAGAAATCCTTCTGGTATTGAAGTGTAGGAAAGTTGAGACTATAAAACCAAAAGGTTATATTTACGTTTATTAGAGAAGGTTTTTTACTTTTTATAGGAAAACACAAAATGTTGCGATGTAGAGTCTAGGTGGTGGACCTCCTTGATCCACTTGGTGGATGAGGGCGACTCCGGTCCTGGCACCCATAGTGCCAGTGATCCAAAAATCATAGGGCCTGGATATAGCTCTAGCAGACGTATGCGGCTTGCGCATCGAGCTTGGTCGTCTCGAGCATGGAGATAGGCGAGTTGTAGACCAAGAGCTGGTACAGAGATAGGCGAGTTGTAGACAAGAGCTGGTGGGCAGCAAGAAACGCATGCACACCAAAGAACAAATCTGAGTCACATGCCTACTTCTATTGGTTTCTACAAAGAGCGGCTAGCTTAGATCTTAGACCAGTCGGTCACTGTCGAGGTCGCCAAGGTGATCTTACAGCACCGCCGTGGGGATTTCTCATGATTTTATGTAGGCAAGCCGCAAGCGGTGGTGGTGATTGGCTGGGTGGTGTCGCTGCCTTGGGAAGAGACGAAGCGATGGTAAAAGTAAGCAGGATCCGATGATTCTTCCGTGGGGATAGCCAAAGTCAAGATGTCGACTACAGACTCGTCGCAGACTTGCAGTGAACCTGGATGCGGCGAGCCTGATTTGTGGATCGATGGCGGGTCTTGACTTTGTTAGGCCGGGATTGGATGGTTGCGGAGGGTGGTGTGCTTGGTTGGGTTCCCATGGAAGAATGTGGCCTCCTCGTGGATCTGGTCATGCCCATCCTAGAGAACATTGTGTCCCTAGCTCCCTCGAGGAGCAAGGACAGTGCAAGCAGCAGCAGGGGGTAGGGTAGATGTGGGGAGGGATGTCGGCGGCTGCTCGAGGTCATCATGATGAAACCCTTGACGTCCCATCTTTATCAATGGAAGTGGAAGAGCACGAAGTCGAGATTGGATAGGAGTTTGAGTTCTTTTTGGCACCGATCGGTTCCCCACTTTAGATATGTATTTTTTTGCGTGCGAGCAAACAGTGGGTTGATTCTAAAAGGGATAGGCACTTTTCAACAGAAGTGCATGACGGACCAAAAATATGACCTCATTTTATTCGTTTGATAGATATCGTATTATTCGTTGTTGTTCGTTCGGTGAAATTTCCTAATATTTGATTGTTGTGTTTCTAATTAGAGCACCCCATAATCATCCAATATGAGGGGATGATAAATGAAAGATACTGATTATAAATTTTGAAGAGCCCGTGGCAACGCACGGGCGTTATACTAGCCAATCTTCTCACTTATCCAAGCCAAGTTCTCTCTATCAATTGTCCCAAACCACCCATGCAACATCACGAGCTCCTCATATATTGTGTTCTGAGTCAAGTAATCAAAGACTGGATTGTACATAAACAATGCTATATATTTTGCAGGGCTTGTTTGCTACAACAGACACTATGATTGCTGCAAGCAAGAATCCAGAACCACACTTTCTCTTTACACTTTCCTCTTTCCAATTGTAAAATATTGTGCTAGGTAGCAAGAGCAAGGCAAGTATGGAATTCCACCTTTTCTTTCTTTAAATGCCTTGTATTGAAACCTGCTGTCACCATTGCTCATTGCCATTGCATAGCCTGACAAAGAGATCAATCAAGCCAAAGAGAAAGGATGGCTTCAGGCTTGCAGGTGTTTGGCCAGCCAGCATCCACCGATGTTGCCAGGGTTCTGACATGCCTCTTTGAGAAGAATTTGGAGTTTGATCTCGTCCGCATCGACACATTCAAGAGGCAGCACAAGCTTCCTGAGTTCATCAGGCTGCGGGTAGGATGCTTCGATCACTTCTTATTCAGTTTCAAAAAATCTTGAATTAGGTAAAGCATGTACTAATTTTTCCATTCATCCTTTTGCAGGATCCAAGTGGACAAGTGACATTCAAGCATGGTGACAAGACTCTTGTCGGTAAGGAGAGCATGAACACAGTTATCACTTATCACGTTACATTTCTGGATTCACTTTTCTTTTGAGGACTGAAAGGCAACGTGAACCTTCTGTGCAGATCCAAGGGCTATTTGCCGGTACCTCTGTACCCAGTTCCCAAACCAGGGAAACAGGAACCTCTATGGGACTGGCTCTCTGGAACGGGCATCAATAGAACAGTGGCTGCAGGCAGAGGCTCAGAGCTTCAACCCTCCCAGCTCGGCCCTCGTGTTTCAGCTGGCATTTGCTCCTCTTCTGGGAATCCCTCAGGACCACATGGCCATTGCAGAGAATGAGAGGAAGCTTCAGCAAGTCCTCAATGTTTACGATGAAATACTCTCGAAGAATGAGTACCTAGCTGGCGATGAGTTCACCCTGGCTGACCTCTCCCACCTCCCGGACTCGCAGTACATTGTGAGCTCGGAGAGGGGGAGGAAGCTCTTCACCTCCAGGAGGAATGTGGCGAGGTGGTTCGACCAAATCTCGAGGCGCAAGGCGTGGGAGCAGGTTGTCAAGATGCAGATGGAGCATCCTGGCGCGTTCGAGTAGCGGCTTAGCGCCTTGGTGGTCGCGAGCAAGTGTCTAGCTCATGTTGAAGAGCTGTCTACGTCTATCGATCTTACTTTCATGTGTTCTTTCGTCATCGTTGCTACTTGTGTTGTCGTCGTTTACCAAATCCTCTTCATTGTTTGTCCTGTGAACCAGAATAATATGAGGCCTGTTCGTGATGTCTGATGTACATTGCGCCGTTTAAAATGCTTTTGCCCTGGTGTGCTCTACTGTCTGCTTTTCACTGTACCATTAACAGAAAGAAACTTGATCTTTTATCAGGTGTATATTTCACTATTTCATTTTCTGTTAGTTCTAGTTTGCAAATGTTGTTGTATTTAGATGTTCTACGAACTTGCATTCTGGTTGCATATTTCGTGTGTAACGGTTGATATTGTAAAACATAAAGGAGGGGATCTCTATCAATTTGAGCCGCATTTGCTCGAAAGTCAGATGCCTGGTCAAAAGCCCAACTTAATATTTCTTGACTTTCGACCAACATACCTATTTGATTGTTTTCTCTCAGAAGCTTGGGAACGCTAAAACTTCCCACATTGACCTATTATACAATAATAAATAGAGGATAGATAAGCGATGATTCTAAAACAAAGGCCGCGTTTGCACTTAGTGCAGTTGTATCACCTTGATGCGATGGCCGAATGAAATTTTATCCAAAAAAAGACGATTCTAAAAGATTGTACTGTATTAAAAAACTGTAAAGGCCTGGATTCCATGGTACCACTATATTAGTGTTATGGCATTGCTGGTCAAGCACCCACCCACCCCTGTCCCTGCGGTCCTGAGGCCAACTCCACCGCGCGACCCCATCCTGTCCGGCCCTGTCCGTTTGGGGCAAAAGGGACAAAGGAGGCGGCCCAGCGCGCGACGGCCCGGACCCATCCTGTCCGTTTTGTGTCCGGGCCGACCCATTTCGAGCGCAAACTTGCGCCGGGTTTGCGTCGCGGCGGACACCAAATGGACGCGCGCCTCGTCCGCTTCGGGGCCGCGTGGCAGGCGGCCACCTACCTCCCACCCGCCCACATCAATGCGCACGAGCGGACGGCCCCACCTGTCATCCGCACGTCGAGCCCCCGCGTCTCCGCCGCGCTCCTCCCGTCGAGCCCCCGTGCCGGCCCCCTTCACCATTGCCCCTCGGCCCTCCGGCGAGCGCGACCGGCAGTACATCTGCGCGGGCGTGTGCCGGAGGTACTGGGAGACGAGGACGCCGGTCCCGTGGAGCGACGCCCACCTCCCCAACGGGTGGCACCTCTCCGCGGACCGGGTCCCCATCCCGCCAGTGCCGGTGACCGGCCGTGCACGGCGCGATGAGATCAATCGCCGCCGCTGCCTCCTCCCCGACGACCTGTACTACGACCACAGGTACGCCCCCGACTCGCCGCTCTGGGACACATGGCTCCAGGACGAGCACGACGTGCGGCGCGCGTCCTACTTCGCCGGCACCGTGTCGGGGCCGCGGAGGCCACGTGCAGAGCCGCGCGGGCGTACGCGGGTGCGCGGCCTGACGCCCACGCCGTCGCCTTCCCCGTCTCCGTCGCCCCCCCCCCCTCCTCGCATGACAGCAGAGGAGGAGGCCCGTCTCCTGCAGCGTGTCATGGACGACTCCATGAACACGCACGATGAGCGGCAGTGGGACAGCCTGGAGGAGGCCATGGCCCTCTCTGCCGCCGGGGACGTCGCCTTCCCGGAGCTGCAGCTGGCGGCCGTCACAGCGGCCGCCACGGAGGACCCGCCCGCGTTCGAGAAGCTCCTGGGCCAGGGGTGGGGCTGGTCGTGCACTGCGCCGGAGATGGCCGCCGACCTGGGCGTGAACTGGTGCCCCACTCCAGAGCGGGAGGCATCGCCGCGTGAGGAGGTGGTGCAGGCACCTCTGGCCGTCCAGCCCGCCCCCGTCCACCACGCACCGCCGGCCAACCTCTGGACGCCGCCGGAGTACGTCGACCTCGTCAGCGACGACGACGACACCGGCGGCCAGTGAAGACGGCGACGGCCACGGCACCGACGGGCGCGGCAGGAGCGCGCGGGAGGAGTTTTTTTATTTTCTTATTATGTTAATTATGAATCTGGGCCTTTTAAGTGGCCGTTGAAACTGGGCCGTTTTGTGGCCAACCCATATATATGTTTTATGTTTTTTTAAATGCGTTTATTTGCTTTTTTAGTTATTTAATTATTATTTTTAATCCCGTCCACCCCGGACACGGGGGTGCGGCCGTGCGGTGGACGCACGCACGACCCAATGGACACAGCCGGACACGGGCGTACCCATCGGCGCCCCAAAGGGACAGATTCGGTCCAATCCGGACGTCCGTTTGGGGGTCGCGCGGTGGAGTTGGCCTGAGATCCTCCATGGCACGCCACGGGCGCTCCCCCACCCCTGTCCCAGCTGCTGCCCGTATCCTGCCGGTCCGGCAGTGGATCTAGCGCGCCTTGGCTGCAGCCATGGACGCCATTCCTAGCAGCCGCCCCCTTCCCCCGCCAGCAGCACAGCCTAGCCTGCTGTTGGTTCTGTTGCTTGCCGTGGTCGGGCATGGGCGTTGCGACTGGTTGCGGGGCGCACGCGGCCTACCTTGTGCAGCCGCCCTCTCTCCAGCGGCTCTTCCTTCGCCCCAAGTTGCGGTGATGGTTCTCGCACGGTGGTGGCGAGGCAATAGCGGTAGTGGCCAGTCCGGGCAGCAGCCTCATCGTTGTCGCGTTCCTTCTTGAAGGTGTTGCTTGGTATGCGGCGGTTCAAAGTGCTAGGAACGTGGTGGGAATTCTTCGGAGGGCGCAGCGGTTGCAGGTCATCATTGTTTTCATCGATTCGACGTTGTTGACATTAGTTTCTTTCTTCTTTCTCTTTTGTGTCATTTGGGCGTGCTTGTGATGTTTGCCCCAGCAATGATCTCACAATTGTATCGGGTGGTTGCTATATTAATATGGCGGGGCAAAAGCCTATTTCGAGGATGGATAAGAAAACAGAACAGTTATACACAGAGTAAACCTGAACGGAGGGAGTACCACACTAGGGACAGTGTGCACAGAACAACAAGCTAGTTGGAGGAACTGCACCACTTAATTTTGTGCCTCGAATCAAAATTGTGTTGATCGAACATACAAAATGAGCTGGTGTTTAATTTATAGAGGCCTCTCTAAATTATCTCTGCATCTCATATCTTGCTGTGCATTTGCACAAAACATTCTCCTGTTTACTAAGA